AAAGATGAAATGCAGAAAAAAAAAAAACCCTGAATATACTCTAGCCCTTGATCAGGACTAATAGGTATAGATCCTACTCTGTTTTCTCATTTATTTAGTGCAGGAAAACAAAGTAATATTTTCCAAAGCAAGAACAACTGAATTCACATTTAAAAGTGCTTTTTGTTAGGTATCATATTACCTTTCTTTATGAGATTCCACATCATTATGATAGATTTTGGATAATGAAGTCAGGAAAAGAGATGTCATCATAAAGTAGAAGTGTTTATGTAAGTCAGCACTGCACATACTGTATTATTACATGTGTATTACACAGCTCTCAGTAGCAACTGTAGCACTTCAGGTTGCTATTCATAGATACATTTCCTTTATTTCACCAGCTTTTAGCTTTCTCCAACTGTTTACATGAAGGTGGGTCCTTCATATAAACAGAATAGTAATGTGGCTGTGATTATGAGGCTTTCTGCAACATAATAAACCAAAACAGTAATGCAGAAATTATTTGAAAACAAATCCCTGGGTGTAACCTATCCACCAGAAGACAAAAGAGGGTCTGGTGATCTGAACACAAAAATACTGAGCATAGATATATAGACCACAGACATATCCCCTAAAAAAAGGAACCCAGGAGGACATTTGCTTGGTGGTTACTGACACAGCTTTGGAGCCAGACTGCCTGGATTTAGATCCTGGGGTCATCATTTCTTACTTGTGCAACTTGGGAAAGTTGCTTCACTTCTGCAGGTCCCAATCTTCCCTTCATATCCTGCCTCATAAAGTTGAAATGAGGGATAAAAGAGTTACCATTTGTTAAATCTGAGAACAGTGCTCAGCAGGTGTCACTCAAATAATGTGAGCATGTACAGATGCTCCTTGACTTACAATGGGGTTATGCACCAATAGACCCATTGTGAGTTAAAAATATGGCGAGTCAAAATGCACTTAATACACTTAGTTTACCACCTATGTATCATAGCTTAAGCTAGTCTACCTTAAATGTGCTCAGAACACTTACATTAGCCTGCAGTTAAGCAAAATTATCTGACACAAAGCCTGTTTTATAATAAAGAGTAAAATGTCTCATGTAATTTTAAAAATACTGAGCTGAAGGTGAAAAATTGAATGATTATATGGTACTCGAATTATGTGTACCACAAAAGTGATACATGTTCAGTAGAAATCAATGTGTAAAGTCGTAAAAATCATAGAGTCAAAAAATTATGCATCAAACCATCATACATCTGGGACTGTCTATAATGTATCATCCAAAAAGAACACTTTTAATAGAAAAACGGGGTGCTAAAAGCATTAAAGTTTACATGATATTTTGAAATATTTATTTATCGGTAACAAAAGGTCCATGTATAAACTGATATTAGCTTATTCAAAAACTATTTTCAAAAGGAAAATTATTTTAAATGATAAAATAATATTCATATTCATTAAAACAATTTTTTATTTATTGAATATTATGAAGAAATAAAGGTAGAACAATTACTTTTTGTATATTGTTATGAACCTTAGTCCATTTACTTTATTGAACATTTTTTTTAAGTCTCTCTCTGTAACTCAGGCTGGAGTGCAGTAGCACAATCAGGGCTCATTGCAGTCTCAAACTCTTGGGCTCAGGCAATTCTCCCTCTTCAGCCTCTAAGCAGCTGGGATTGTAAGCATGTAAACCATGCCTGGCTAAGTTGTTTTTTATTTTTGTAGAGACAAGATCTCACTATCTTTCCCGAACTTAGTCTCCAACTCCTGGCCTCCAGTGATCTCCCTGTCTCAGCCTCCCAAAGTGCTTGGATTAAAGGTGTGAGTCACTGTGCCTAGCTAATTCTTTTTGTTTGTTTGTTTCTGTCTCTAACATTGTGTTACTAGCTTTGGTCCCTAGAAGAAAACACGTTGTTTCTCGGTGTTTTTATTTTTAATTTTTTTAAAAATAACTTTATTAGGATATAACTTATGTGCCCTAAAATTTACCCGTTTAAACATACATATTAACGTTTTTAAATAAATTTACAAAGTTGTGCTAACATCATCATAAAGGCTTTCTTCTTTTTACTTTTTTTACAAAATTACCCTGCAAAGTTCTTCCAAGTTTCTTTTTATGGTTAGCTGACTTGAATATATTGATACCTGTAACTCATTCTTCTTTATGGACCATAATATTTAAAATGAGGAAATGATCAGTTAACAGGTACGGAAGTACTTGGTAAGCTCATAGCAAATTCTACTAAAGAGTAGATATTCTGACTTCTAATTTTCTTAAGTATAAAAATATGCACATAAAAGCAGGACAAAGTAAATAGTGAATTGCGGGGTTGGCAGGCAGGATGTAGTACCAAAGTAGTATCAATTTTAAAAATCAAGTAACACGTAACCACCAAACTGGTTCTGTGCCAGCATCAGTTTATAGCCTTGTAATGCCACATATCTAATTTTAAAATTTTTAGTAGCCACATTAAAAATATAACATTAAACAAGTAAAAATGATAAAAATATGAATATGAATCCACCTAAATATTTTCACAGGTACCTGACCTTTGCTTCATTTGTATTCGCTTTTCCCAATACTAGACTATTTTTATAAGATGCCACTTTTTAGGAAAATTAAGTTGTAGGATTAAGTTGTCAAGATATTTTGCAGGACAATTTTAGAATTTAAAAGGTAAATATTGAACACTATTTGAGCATTTATTGTTTAAATTTCTCAGTTTTCCCTTTGTCATAGCAAGAATAAATTTTAATTGTTTTCTGTTTGCAAGGCTTGCTTTTTATTATCCTTTATTACAAAACTGATAATTCAAAGACTGATCATTTCTGGGGCCACATTTAAAAAATACTTTAGAGAGGACTTCCAAAGGATTTCTAAGAGGATTATAAAATTGTAAAAGTGTTAAAACTACTTTAGATTATTTAGGCTTCTTATAAAGCAGATTTTCAAAGGCTCAAACATTTCTAAAGTCAATTTTTTGATTGACAATAAAAAAATGTATTTTTAATATAAAATTATCATTAATCATCTGCTTCATCCAAAAAAATCTGTGTTTTAGTTGGTTCTAAGATGTGGAAATTTAAAAAAATTTTAAATTCTGACTACAAATACATCTATTTCAATTGGGGATTTTCATAGTTTGGAAACAAAAGTATAAATTATGTATGTACCATAGCCAAGTGTATTTCTGATCCATATGTTTCTTAATTTAATAAGAGTATTTTTAAATGATAATTTCCTTCACCAATATTTATATTTATGTTACAATTACAAAACAATTTTATTTTTAATGTTAACTTTTCATTTTTATTTTGAATTTTGATTCATTTTAGCAAAGTGAACTACTCTAACCTTTACTTTGATTTTATAAATCGGATGAAAATACTGATTATGGGAAATAATGTGTCCATTTGAAAGATTTTTATATATTTATATATATTTAATATATGAGATATAAATATAAATATAAAAAGTATGAGATATATATATATAAATTCAACAAGTACTAAAGTAGGAAAGGATGATATATATATATATATATGTTAATGATAACACATTGTTTGGAAATAACCAGCTGGTGGCTCATGCTTGTAATCCCAGCACTCTGAGAGGCCAAGGCGGGTGAATCACCAGAAGTGAGGTGTTTGAGATCGGCCTGGTGGACATGGTAAAACCCCATCTCTACCAAAAATACAAAAAAAAAAAAAAAAAAATTTAGCCAGGCATGTTGGTGCATACCTGTAATCTCAGCTACTCAGGAGGCTGACACAGAAGAATTTCTTGAACCTGGGAAGCAGAGCCACTGTACTCCATCCTGAGTAACAGAGAGAGACTGTCCCCCCCCCAAAAAAAAAGATAAGAAAGAAAGAAAAAAAACTAGGACAAGGTTAACAGAAATGGAGATAAAGAATGTGAGCTTTGGGTCCCCAAGCAAATCTGATAATATAATCCCCACTACATAAAAGTCACTGTTATTTCTTACTGTCTGTGCATAGATTAACCGAAACAATGCATAAGCACACTTTGGGTGTGGTAGCTCATGCCTATAATCCCAGCACTTTGGGAGGCTGAGGCGAGGCAAGAGAATTGCTTCAGACCAGGAGTTTGAGACCAGTCTGGGCAATATAGGCTGACCCCTATCTCTTAAAAAACAAAATTTATCTGGGCATGTTGGTGTGATCCTGTGGTTCTATCTACTCGATGGGGTGAGGTGGGAGCGTTGCTTGAGCCTGGAGGCTGAGGCTGCAGTATGATCACACCACTGTACTCCAGCAGGGGGGACAGAGCAAGACTGTCTAGAAGAAAGAAAAAAGAATGATCACAAATTACATTCGTTATTCATGCATTTTCATGTTAACATATTTTAATATTGGTTTGCCTGTGTGTGGCAAATACCAAATTTCAAATTAATTTAGGGCTGGCATGACTCTCTTCACATAGTCTAACCTATCTCCTTCCCTAGCCACTCACTGTTCTTCATTCAGTGGCTGAAATGCAATTAAGCATTAAGTCTGAGTATTTTGTGGTTTTTAAGCATGCCTATTTAGAGGAGACCTAAAAGCTCTACCTTTTTGTTATCTGATGCTACATATAGGAGAAAACAAGCAGATGTTGCTAACAGTGTCAATTAAGGAGTTAATAAGCAAGGAATGTCCATCTGTGACTAATCTGGGTTGAACATCATAGGATCAACATTAAGAACTATTTGTTGAGCACTGCTATAAATGAGGCATTATCCAGTTGTTCTGATACTCACAGTGGCCCTGGGTCAGTCTTGTCATCTCTTCAACTGAATTTTCTTTTTTTCTCTTAGGTAGACATTCATGGTCCTCATGATTGTCTCAAAACTATATAGAATTGAGAAGGTGAGCAGACCGAGTACATGAGGAATATCAGTGACTTTAGAGAAAACATGTGTGTTGCAAAAAATAAGGTTTGGTCCTAATAAATGTTTAGTGAGCTTGACTATTAATATCTTAAATGTTTTTTTCTTTCTTTTTATTCCCAGCTGCATTGATGAGGAAACTGAAACAGAAAATCCAGAGTAAATTCCACCAGGCCACACAGTGAGGCCTGATAGAGCCAGGAGAGACTTTATGAAATCCAGACTCTCAGACTAATGTTCTATCAGCTAGACCTCCATGTGAGTCTCCCAATGTAGGTAGGAAGAGTTCTCCCTAAAATGCTCATAAAGCAAATCAGAGCAATGCTTCATTCCATGTGATTTCTAATTTGAAATGCAAATAATTACCAATTTGTTTGACTTGTATTTATAATTATTTCCTTGTGAATTACTCATCACTAAATGCTTTATAAATATTTTCTCTTTTTTTTCTCAATGTCTATGGAATGATCACGGCATAGAAAATGTTGGCTTTCAAGGATTTATTAATATCTCTTTTTGAAATAACATGTATTTGTAAGATAGAATAAAATCACTTTAAAGAAACAAATCTTGAATTTGATTTCCTGTTCAGACAATGACTTATCTGATGTGCTTAATAAGATGAACTACATAGTGACTTTTATTTAAAGGATCCATTATATAAGAAGAAAAAGTAAATATGCATACTTAGTTGAGCACAGACTTGCCAACAGCTCCTTCTGATAGATATTTAGACTTTACTAAGTTTGTGTAAGCCAAAGGCAACACACTGTATGCATTACTGAATCTAATCTCACTTTTGCCAATAATGAAAAAAACAAGCTAGTGGCATAATATGGCAGTATGCATCATATGCTTACCATAATCTCAAAATTTAACTCTTTGTGAAGAACTGAGTCAATTATTTCTGTCTTTTTGAACATGAAACCTAATTTAAAGCATTTTTCTAGATGATAAAATGAATCCTCCTTTACTCAGAAACTTAACAAATCCAGAATAGAATACAGAACTCAATAACTAGGTTGAAAATATTGTTCATACTCTTTGCTTGGAATCACATCAATATCAAATGATTTTCGAGAAAGAGAAACAATAGCTTCCCCCTCCCCTTTTTGGTCCTGGTTGCTATCAACTGGAAATAATGCATGTGTGTTTTAGTCTGCGCTTTGCAAAACTTCATGTAAATTCAAGCCAGCACAAATATTAAAAAGTGCAATATACACTTTTGAAAACAAAATTTAGAAATTGTTAATATTTACAGCAATTTGTTTAAGCAAGAGAGGGAAAGGAACCATTAGAAGAAATTCAGAGAAGAGCATTAAAAGGGTCACAAGGATTGACTTATGAGATCAAAGAATAACAAATGCTAGATCTGTTGCTGGACAAAACCATGGTAAGCCAAGCTCTAATAGTGACATATAAGTCTGGCCAAAGCAACTTCACATTTTGTTGTAATTGAGGGAGAAAAATGACCCTGTTCTATTTGCTAATAATATGTATCATTAGGTAAAGCATATAGTAATCGAAAGGCAGCTCCTCAGATTTAAATATAATTTAAACTATCTTTAAGCAAATGTGTAAGTATAGCGACAGCCAAAAATGTTTATTCAGCTCAATTCCTGCTTTCCCTTCCCAAATCTTAAAATTGGTAAAACAAAAACAAAAAACAGAGAGACAGAGCTAGTTGGATACCAGTGTCTCAACTCCATACCTCAACAGGGACTGCATTTTGTGTAACTGCCACAGACTCGAGCATAGAGAGGGTCATGATAATGTAGGGAACAGAGCAAAGGATAAAAGATGGTCATTTTAATAGGAATGACAAGGTTGGGTGAAACATGAAAAAGCCACTCCATAGCCAAGAGAGATTAAAAAGAGAACTCAGGAGGGTCGTGTTACTTCCCATTTCTTCTGACCTGATTCTTGCGGCCACTCCATTGATTAAGTTTTACAGTTTGCGGTAACTGGCAAGGAAGAGGTGTGCCTGTCAGCTGTTCACAGTGCAGAATCTTGAAAAGGTCAGCATAGTAGCAGTATGACAGGCCATGTAAGTCATTATGTGCCTTATAATTCATTTGTAAGTAGAATGAGAACTGGAGCATATTAAATGTAAACTCTGCCGTAGGACCTCTAAAAACACATTAGTCAAATGGAAAGCTAGGTTTTGTTCTCTATCTAGAAGACAAACAAATATTTCTTCACAAATGTTTTACTTTCTTAAAGAGCAGAAGAAATGGGAAATAAGCCCATTTGCTGCAAAGTGGTTTAAAGAAAATATATCGGCAGCAGAAGGAAGGTGGTTTAGGGAGAAGATATGTAATCGAATGCATACGCAAGTACTATGAGCTTTAAGATTCACATCAGTGCTAGTTAGAAATTTCCTAATCAATGAAAATCATAAGACTTTCAAAGTCTTTTGAAAGAAATAGTGAACTTTATCAGGTAAGATAATATATTTATGACTTACCACAGTTTTGTTGTGATGGTTCTGTTCATTGTGAAGCCTTATTTTGCATTGAAATTGGCACAATTTTACACCATGAACCAAATGTTCTTTTAACGGAAACTCACACACACATAGCACATTCTTTCGTGCTAAGATGCTAAAGTTGCTGAACATGCTACAGGTGATTATTAGGCAGTAGTGAAAGAGTTAATTACCCATCATTCCTCCCCCCCTGCCCCAGACATCCCACTGTGCGTCTGTTATAGACTTAGGCACAGTTCCTAATGGCAAAATCTATTAGAATGCACAATATTCTCCCAAGGGAGCTGGTGGAAGTCCTGTCACTTGAGACATTTAAAACTACACTGGGTAAAGCACTAGAGAGCTGTGAGTGCATGTGTTCCAACCCTGAGGACAGAAATCATGACCTAATGGGTGATTTCTATCCCTTAATGTCTCTGATTTGCTGGGTGTTTTAATAGCTCCGTCATATTTAAGTAGATGAGCAATGGTCTATTTTTTTAATGGAACTTGAATTTGGTCTGTAAAGTGTCAAGACAGAGGTGACAAAACAAACCACAGAGGAATGGAGGAAGCCTCACGGAAATTCAGTTGATTTGAAGGAGGGTTGAGCAAACACAACAGTGTATTAGGGTTTAGCGAATGCCTTGACTTTTTTTTTTTTTCAAATGTTTTCAGTTCAAGGAAACCCAAAACACATTTGGCTAAACACTTTTTCCTTAATTTTCAAACCCATGTGTATTTCAAGGGAAATTTAATCCATGTGTTTCTGATTCATTTACACTTAGCTCATCAAAATGTGGTTTCATAAGACCCATTTGATGTCTAAGAAGCTCTGTGAGCTTTTTTTTTTACAAGCTTTTTTTCTTTGAACCAGGAAGTTACATTTTGCCAAGAGTCAATGGAACTTCAACCAGAAAAGAATCAGTTTTGTTTGGGATCTTGGAATCTTCAAAGTTGGTGGGAGCTAATGAGCTGGGAGGGGAGGAAAGCTGATTCAGAGAGCAGGAACCTTCCCACTTCTAATATGTTATCTGTTCAGATAACTTGAAAATCTAGTTTTCTCTCAGTTTATACTATAAAATTCATCTTTAAATTTTGAAAATCTTGTAGAAAACATGAGGATGAATTTTATTACAGGGTCCAATGCTGTCATATACTCTGATAATCTTCCACTAGTGAGTCTGTAGGTGATGATTATCTTAGAGGCAGTTATAAAGAAGTGACTCACCAAAGTGTTTAGATTGGCCATTTTTTTAATATTTAAAAAATATTCCTTTGCCTAGTTATTGTCGCTCTGTGCACAACACTACTGGTTCTTTAAGAAACAAGACAAATAAGACTCAGTGAATGTGCTGATTCAGGTGCACACAATCCCCTGTCTCATTGCTGGTGTTGCTTAAGAGCATCTGGGGTAAGGAAACATGCATCCGGTCCATCCGTCAAGAGTCCATGAGAAAGCCAACAATGTTTGCACCTGCAGGATGAATTACATCTTTGGTGAGTGTGGGAAGCTACATAATGAGACAGTTGAGTGGCTGACATGTTTCTTTTTTTCTTGCTCCTTCTGCACCTTCTTTTTGTACTACCTTCATTTTTCCCACTTCCTCTCCCTTTTCCCCACCTCTATACAATCACCACTAGATAATGGAGCAAATGTGGCACATCCATCCAAGGATGGGTTGACATGGTTTACACATTGCTTTCATTTGGTTGTTCTTTGGATGAATTCTTCTTCCTTGAGAACAAGATAATGAAAACCATACCGTCACTGAATACAAAATCTGCCATCACTTTGGCTGTTCCTTCACAGCCCATTTCATTTTATAAAGCCTAGTCCCTGAGTTTACTCCAGTAGAAGATCTGAAGCAGGTGGAATCCTGCCCCCTATGGGCTTACAGAATTCAGCAAATGCTGCCAATTTAGTCCTTGCCTGTCACCCATACATCAGAGAACTTATTTGAATGTAACATCTCTTGCTAGCCTAGTATTGGTTTAGAAACTTGGCCTTTTAAGTATTAATATAAGTTCTGTTCTGGGACCTTCATTGTGGGAACTGAAGACAAAAGAACCAAAATGGATATCAGCAGAAAATTAAAAGAACATTTGGAAGTTTTTTAGCTCATGCAGACCTCAATTTTGGAACCATAGCCTAATGGAAATAAATACTGTGTTATGGTGAGTGAAGGTAAATGTGTACTTTATTTCTGGGCTGAGTTTGACAGTCTAAAACAAAATGCTAAATTTTTAACTATGGCAGCAAGTTCAGATGACAGGTGTGAGGGAAAAGAATTATTCTTTGATTCAAACTCCCATACCAGTCAGTGAAAAGGCTAAAAGCAATAAAATTACAGATGAGGTCTTCGGAATTTAACCAAAAGAAGTTCATTTTCACTTTCTAATTTGTCACTTGCTTTCAAAGACATGGAAGAAATATTACAGAAATATTAAATTAATCTCTGAAAACACAAAGGTAAAAACTATTGTGGTTTAAAATAGAAGATATTTTCTCTTAAAATTGTCTTTGATACTTCTGCACTGATAGAACTTATGAAAATAGCCAATCTATTATGGCTAGGCTAATTTCCTTTCCCAAGGATACATAATCGAGAATAAGAACTGCAATCAATGCCCCAAACACAAATCTCATACATCTTGCTAATTCTGGAGAAATAGTGTCAAGTTCTCTTTCAGTACAAAATTATGTTTTACTTTTAATATGTTTTGTTTTTAATTCTCAGAAATACTTATTATTAATAAGGCAAAGCCACCTTTTTATAATATAGAACTATCCTACCTCTGTAAGAGTAGAAGCAAAATGATTAAAAACAAAATGTGAAAAGTGCTATAATTTACTGAAAAATTGAAGAAGAAATTTGGAATAATTTTGTTCAAACTTACAGTTTTATGATTGAAGAAACAAAAAGTCCAGAGTGTTTAGGAGACTTGTTCAAGTTTCACAAGCTGATTCTGTAAGGTTGGGTATCAGAAGTCAGCTCTAAGTACGAGTCCAGTGCTATTTTAACAATTGATAAAGTTTCTAAGAGCAACATATTCCTGAAATGGGACACATCAGAAAAGTCTATAGAGATTCTTT